TTGTCAGGGCGGGGATAGCCCTCGGTTAGGAAAGGCTCTTAATGGTGGAGCCGTCGCTACTAGGGTAGAGACCATCGCTACCAGGGTGGAGGCCATCGCTATTAGGTTGCGAGGTTGGAGGTGATCGCTACTAGGGTGGAGACCATCGCTAGTAGGGGCTGCAAGAGCATCAGTCAAGGTTGAAGGCTCAGCAAATTGGACTCCCTAGTAGCTTCTTGTTACTAGTAGCACGGCCAGGAGCCCCTAGTAGCGTCCTTGCTCCTAGTAGCGATGCCAGGAACCCCTAGTAGTTTCTTGTTACTATACTATTTATTGTGCTGATGTTTGGTGGGCACCCACTTTGGTGTGGGCAAACAGAAGCCTTGGCTGAAGAAAGGAAAATCAAAGCATGTATTTGATGACCAAGTGAGCCAGAAGATGGCACGCTGTTCAGAAGATGGTTCCAACCCAGCGAAGATTGGCCGAGTTCAAAGTCCCATCGAGGAACTTCCGGCCTTAAACACTTGTCTTCAACATGTTTGACACCTCATCCTTGAGTGAACGAAACGCAGCCGGTCAATTCGTTTCGTGCGATTGCTAGCCTAGTTACTCAGTTGCACTTGCATTGAGGCCCGCAGAAAGCGGTATTGTTTCTAAAGGTGGTACTGGTGTCATGTACTTTCGAGGCAGCGAGCGAACTCTATATATATATATATATGTAATGCATCCACTGTTTACAGATGCAATGGCAGCAGAGGCTACGAATCCGCTTCGAAAAGTTCCCCCTGGACCTGGCCGCAAAAAGAAAAGGCTGGCAGAGACAGGTTAAAGCCACATGATTTCTTGCACTGCTGCGCAGGGATAAAAGCTTTGAGTACAACCTGTGGATTGGCAGCACAGTCCGACCCCAATAAACAGTTTGTCCTTGGATCAACGTGCAAAAGTCAGCCCTAATTGAGGCGTGCGTTGTTCTTGTTGGCTGTGTCAGAACCTCATTTGTTAATTTATTCTGTGCTTTGGCTGTCAAAGGAAGGAATAAATTTGAATAGAAGCGTCCGGCTTTCTGATAGCGAGGAATGTGACAATGTTTTGGATTTGTTGCGTAGTCCTCAGGCCATAGCCTTGTTCGCTCCTAGCGCAGGCCAAGCTCAAGTCTCGCTGCCGTCCACGCGCACTTTTGGTCAAATGGATTTGGATGAAAAGTAGCTTAAGAGCTGCAGACATTCGACTCTGTAAATTCAGCCATTAGTGGGCAATGTCTTATGTACGCAGTTTGTGATGCGAACGAGGTGAAATACGCCAAATAACATGGGGAAACAGCGGCGGCGGAGAGTGTGAAAAAGTGTCGATTTGGGTGTCTTCGTGACGAGGAGAACGTCAGAGGGTAGACGTGGATGTTGGGGAGGTAGATGGGATAAAAGCAATGCTCGAGAAGATAGAGAATCCACTCTACGGGCTCTTTTCTCGGTTGGAAGGGCGGGGACTCTGTGTCGCTTGCAGGTCGATGGACAGCTGGATGGAAGGGATGTGGATAGCTGCGTGTAGAGCTGGAAAGGTTGCTGACAGAAAGACAAGTGGGGGAGATAGGACGATAGAGATATGGAGAGGTTCCGAGAAGAGAAGTATAGATGGCCTCCAACCTACAAGCGATCGCTATCTATCAGACACACTTTCCTCTTCTGTCCATCCATCCAGCTAGCCAGCCAGCCCACCCGCCCGCCCCAAGCGGCACAGAGTCCCCGAGAAAGTGAATCCCAGTGTCCAGCCAATGGACTGACATGATTTCGATCTGCGCGCATCAATTGCAGCTGGAAGCATTAAGTATAGTCCATTGATGTAGCTAGATGCCTGAAAAGTCTCAATGGAAGCACTGGGCGCTTAAAGGTGAATCGACAGCTTTTATTGCCATCGCTCGCTCGCGGTTGGGCCATGAAGCCCTCAAAAAAACACCAAAAAACGCAGCTAGGTCTCACAACCTACACACAGTTGGAGGCCATTGCTACTAGGGTGCAGGCCATCACTTGTAGGTTGGAAGCCATCACTAGTAGGTTGGAGGCCATTGCTACCCGGGTGGAATTGGGAGATAGATGGAGAGATAGAGAGATTACAAGACAAAGGTAAATGACTGGCTAGGTGGGTGAGTGGATGGATGGAAGGGTAGAGAGTGTGAGAGAGGTTGCGCAACAGCCAGAACTGCAGACACTGGCTTTCGTATCCTCCCTTCTCAGGTTTGGAAACGAGTCGAAGGAAGTGTAGCTTCTTGTTACTACTAGTAAGGCACTTGTTACTACTAGCGTGGCACTTGGTAGCGATGCACTTGTTACTAGTAGGTTTAAGGAGTTGCGACTTTGGGGTTAAGCGGCCAAAATGTAAGTACAACGCTTCAAGGTTACTTCGAAACAAGCCTGGAATGGATCCCAGTTCAGTTGCCGTCAAAGGGCTAGATGCGTCGTGATTTCCGTTCACTTGTAGGTCCATTCACACATTGTACGTATGATAATAGCTTCTTGTTACTACTAGTAAGGCACTCGTTACTAGTAGCGATGCACTTGCTCCTAGTAGCTTATTGTTTCTAATAGCTTCTTGTTACTACTAGTAAGGCACTTGTTACTA